TTTCTAGAATTATCATAAAAAGCATGTACATTGCAAGTATACTAGAATACACAATATCAGACAAAGTACAGATAAGGTGCATGATAGATTGGATAATTCGTACGAGATACTAATTCCTCTTAAGGCGATTTACTGACATTTTTATGTATTTCTTTTCAGGGTTATAAACACCTCAGTAATCCTGAACCTCTTCAATGATTTTCAGAACGAAAGAAATGTAAAATTATGGGATAAATGGGTAAACAATTGCGGAGAATATAATGAAACCAAATGAAATGATTCGTAAACTGGTTTTTGGAGTTGTATCCTACAGTATTTTTAGGTATCGAATAATATATAGATATATAGATATATTAATATATATATATATATATATATATCTAAAAATTAACATGATCGTATAATTTATTGTGTGGTTATTTCAAACAATTTGTGAATGGAATCAAGATTGTAAATAAGAAGAACATTGTATATATCTAGGCTGTAAATATAACTTCTCAATGGAATCTTAATGTTGCGTTCGACACTTTATAAATATAAAATCTGCTTATTTTCTCAGAATTCTAATTTCAAGAATATATAAGATTTTAAGATGCATCATTACATAAGTAGTTTTAATCGACTTTATAATTCTTTTTATTGGATTAACGAATTACTTGATTCTTATATTGAACGATCAGTCTCATCCGTACGCATATGTAGATTATCAATTTAACGCACTTGGTACAATTAAAAAGTACGTAAATATGTATCGGTAATGAAACTAATAAAACTTTCCAGCATGTAAATATTTTCCACACGCACACACGTGTATACGCGCATTGTGTGCGCACCTCTACTATACATACACATACAATACACATATATAGTATTAAATCTATTCAGATTACATTTATTATGAATTATAAATAAAGTATGTAATAAAACTCAAAGAGTAGACCTTCCAATTATATGTTATTTGTTAACCAGCAATCCTCGAGTAAATTTGTTCTTACAAAAATAAACGAATCCCACGGTGTTATTACAATATCCATTAATACATTTATTTATTTAGCTTGTATAGTGTCATTTCAAACAAATTTCTTAATTCATATCTAATCATAAAATCCCCGCGGCCAATAAAATGTAGGTCAACGAAAAAACATAGGTGACAGGACACAAACGAAAACAGCAGGTGGCTCCATCTATCGCGAGAATGCTCAAACTTCTAGCCAAACAACAGAAGCTTATAAACACCATTCGTCGACGAAACGCTGAAACTGGAAGCAAATAGTACTAGCTGTTCCCACCTGGTGGCGCGACCAATGCATCTATCTCTGTCCTTCACACGCCCGTAAATCTTTCCTTGACAGTCCTTAGCCAGCAGTGGTGGCTCAACCTAGCATGAGAACTCTCAAACTTCCAGCCAAACAACACAGGCTTACAAACACCATCTATCGACGAAACGCTGAAACTCGAAGCAAATAGTACCAGCTGTCGCAACATGGTGGCGCAACCAATGCACCTATCTCTGTCCTTCTCGCGCCCGTAATTCTTTCCTTGTCACTCCTTATCCAGCAGTGGTGGCTCCACCTAGCCAGAGAACGCTCACACTTCTAGCCAAATAGTACCGTATAGGCCATGCCAGATGGCGAGACCAACACACAATAATACCGACCGCCACACTCGTAACACGACGGACAGTGTCATCGGTAACAAGGTACTTTTTTGGTAGAAGTTTGATGGATGTTGAACTAGATGGCGCCCACATCGCTGAATGACCAAAGAGCGCAAGGTTTTCAGAGATTTCTCGTGCAGTTTCTGCTGGTCTCTCATGGCGGATGGAGGGGTTTCTCACACCGAATTTATCGACTATTAAGCACCCACATTATCGACACAGATTCCAGGGGTCTCTCGTGGAGGCTCGACGGGTTTCTCATACCAATTCGGCGGTCTCTCGCCGGGGTCTCTCGTGATGGTCTCTCGGGGGGTTTCTCACACAGATTCCGTGGGTCACTCGCGTAAGTTCAAGGGGTTTCTCACACCGATTTCGTAGGCCTCGCGGAACAGTATAAGGGATTTCTCACACCGATTTCCGAGGTCTCTTCCGGGTGTTGCAAAGGTTTCAAGCAGGAGTTCTTTTTTGGAGTGGTTTGAGTCAACAAAGTCAATTGTTGAGCTTTTTTTAGTCTGAGCTCGAGGTTTTAGAGCTTTTGAGCCATTATCGGGAATAAGTGTACTATTTGGCTAATGGCTTGGACGTTTAATTGTAAGGTCGGGATACTTTTGGTCGAAATAGACTTTAGACTATACAATCCAGGTTTCCAAAGTGAAAAACTTGGATTCCGTCGGGCAGAATTGCCAGGTAGGTCGGGGGAAGCCATTTGACGTAGCAGTGATGGGACTCCAGGACGAGGTCTCATAGGGACCAAGGCTACATCCGGCTGACCGATGGGAAGTTCGGGATACTTTTGGTCGAAATTGACCTTAGACTATACAATCCAGGTTTCCAAAGTGGAAAACTTGGATTCAGTCGGGCAGAATTGCCAGGAAGGTCGGGGGAAGCCATTTGACTTAGCAGTGATTGGACACCAGGGCGAGGTCTCATAGGTTCCAAGGCTACATCCGGCTGACCGATGGGAAGTTCGGGATACTTTTGGTCGAAATTGACTTTGGAATATACAATCCAGGTTTCCAAAGTG